AGATCATGCCATTGCATTCCAGCCTGGGCAACGAGAGCGAAATTCTGTCTCAAAAAAAAAAAGAAAAGAAAAAAAGGAAATATCCAGAAAAAGCAACTCCACAGAGAGAGAAAATAGATTAGAGGTTGCCAGGGACTGCGAGGAGGGAAGAATGAGGAGGGAGGGTGTAATGGGTGTGAAGTTTCCCTTTGGGGTGATAAAAAAGTTCTGCAGCTACATAGATCTAATGACTATACAGCATTGTGAATTACTAAATGCTGCTAAATTATTTACTTATTTGTATTAGTCTTTATTACTATTATTATTATTATTATTGAGATGGAGTCTCACTCTGTTGCCCAGGCTGGAGTGCAGTGGTGCGATCTCAGCTCACATCACACCAACCTCCACCTCCCAGGTTCAAGCAATTTTCCTGCCTCAGTCTCCCAAGTAGCTGGGATTACAGGCATGTGCCACCACGCCCAGCTAATTTTTTTGTATGTTTAGTGGAGACGGGGTTTTACCATGTTGGCCAGGCTGGTTTTGAACTCCTGACCTCAAGTGATCCGCCCATCTCGTCCTCCCAAAGTAGTAGGGTTACAGGCATGAGCCATTGCACCAGGCCTATTCTTTATTATTTTTAATTTCATTTTTTGAGACAGGGTCTCACTCGGTTGCCCAGGCTGGAGTGCAGTGGTGTCATCATGGCTTACAGAAGCCTTGACTTCCTGGGCTCATACAATTCTCCCACCTCAGCCTCCCGAGTAGCTGGGACTACAGGCACGCGCCACCACGCCCAGCTGATTTTTTATGCTGCCCAGGCTGGTCTCAAATGCCTAAGCACGAACAATCCTCCTGCCTCGGCCTCCCAAAGTGCTGGTATTACAGGCCTAAGCCACTGCACCTGGCCACGAATTGTTCATTTTAAAATGGTTAAAAAGGTAAATTAAATTTTATGTTTCATGGATTTTAACATGACAAATAAAGAGGTCACAGGGGAAGAGCTATTATTTAATTTAATTTAATTCAATTTTATTTTATTTTATTTTATTTTATTTTTTGAGACAGAGTTTCGCTCTTGTTGCTCAGGCTGGAATGCAGTGGCACGATCTTGGCTCACAGCAACCTCTGCCTCCTGGGTTCAAGTGATTCTCCTGCCTCAACCTCCCAAGTAGCTGGGATTACAGGCATGTGCTACCACACC